GGCCAGGGCCCTGGCATGCACCTGCTGTCTCTGTGTCCCACCTGAGCACCAAGGACGCTGCCGCTGCCAGCTCCTGGGCTGCATGCACAGATACCAAGGGATGCGGTGTCTGGGAGCGTGCAGACCGCAGGCACCAAGCAAGGCGTATTGTCTGTCCTTGCTGCTCTGGATTCTGCCCTCGGCCATGTGTCTGGGGAGGCCAGCACTGCCCAGCAGCCTGTAGGCAGGTGCTGTCACCTCCCTGGTGGGGTGACCTGAGGCCCCAGACCCCATCAACAGTGATGGCAGAGCCGCTGCTCAGCCCAGGTCTGGGCAGCCCCATGGTCCTGGAAAGCAGGCCTGGCACAGACAGAGGGAAACAGAGCAGCCACGTGGGCAGGCACACAGCCAGCGGCTGGGAGAGGCCACCGGGAGCTGGAGGAGCCTCACGGGCCAGAGGCTGGTGCTGCCAGCTCCTGGGCTGCATGCACAGATACCAAGGGATGCAGTGTCTGGGAGCGTGCAGACCGCAGGCACCAAGCAAGGCGTATTGTCTGTCCTTGCTGCTCTGGATTCTGCCCTCGGCCATGTGTCTGGGGAGGCCAGCACTGCCCAGCAGCCTGTAGGCAGGTGCTGTCACCTCCCTGGTGGGGTGACCTGAGGCCCCAGACCCCATCAACAGTGATGGCAGAGCCGCTGCTCAGCCCAGGTCTGGGCAGCCCCATGGTCCTGGAAAGCAGGCCTGGCACAGACAGAGGGAAACAGAGCAGCCACGTGGGCAGGCACACAGCCAGCGGCTGGGAGAGGCCACCGGGAGCTGGAGGAGCCTCACGGGCCAGAGGCTGGGGGCCAGAGTCAAACTGCACCTGAGAAGCAGGTTCCCACAGCCCATGTGGCAGAAGTCACCCAGCACCAGGAGCAAGGAGCCTGTGGGACTGAGCCCCGCAGGGCCCGTGCCAGGAGCTGGGGCCAGTGCGGCAGGAAGAGGGATAAGTGCTGGGGCCGGGTGGGACGTTCGATTAGGCAGTGGGGCTGTGGGGCAGACAGCGGCTCCTGAGGGCGGGAGGCGAGTGTGCACCTGAGCCGTGGATGGCAAGGGAGGGCTCCAGACCCCCGCCCCACCCACCAAAAGCAGCTGTCGTGGGGAGCCACCGTTGATAGGTACAGAGCTTCTGTTTGGGGTGACAAAAATGTCCTGCAGTCAGATAGTGGTGACGGTCACACAACTCTGTTGTATATATCAAAATCCACTAAATTCATTCTTAAAACATGAATTTTATCATATGTGAATTCTCAAACTGTTATCTAAACAAAAAAAATCCACCTGGGCATACAGTAAACTCGAGAATTGACCAAAAAAGAGCTGAAGGATCATGGAGCAGCCCCAAGGGCCAGGCCAAGTCCCACAGTGGTCAGCCCAGCCTGGCCTGCGTCCCCACCCAGCACAGGGGCCCGCACTCCCACACGGGCTGGGCCAGGACAGGGGGCAGCACTTTCCTTCCCTCCCACCTCCACGCCGTCTGGTTCACTAGTCGAAGCGAGGCCGCAGGTCCTGCCTTCTAGACAGGGGCTTCCACGCTGACCGTGCGGAGGACGGAGCTACCACTCGCCAGCCCGCCAAGCCTCTAACACACAGGGTCCCACGCGCCCTTCTCATGCACCCCCAGATCTGGCAGCCTAGACTCGGGGGCTGGCGTGGCACCAGACACAAGCCACTCCTGCGCCCTGACCGCGTCTCCCTCCTGCAGCCGCGTCATGACCTACCGGGAGCACACGGCCTGGGTGGTGAAGGCCTACCTCCAGAAGCACCCCGAGGGCCGCATCATGAGCGTCAGGTAAGGCGCGCCGAGTGAAAACATCATCCCCACCGCGTAAAATGCGTCCTCGGCTCTTAAACAGCTGGGAAACAGTGGCATTTGGGGCAGTAATTAATTCCTGCTCCGGGACTGGCCAGAAAGGTCAGGGCACAGTGCGAGAGGCCGGTAAGGCACGTCTGTGCCCCCTGCCAGGTGGAGAGTGGGGCCTGAGGGTGACTCAGAGAAGTGTCCTGGACTTGGCTGCAGCCAAGCATGCAGGGAGGAGGCGGCAGCCACAGGGGCGGGGGTGGCAGCGCGTTGCCATGCAGGACTGCCACTCGGTCCAACAGTCATCCACACGTAAATCCAGTCTGCTGCTCGGTAAATACTGTGCTGAGCAGCGAATATTTATTTGCCCATTAAAAGGACAGCAAGATGTAACTTACTGTCACAAAGCCACCATTCCTTCAGAGAGAGGCCCTTTTGCCACTTGTTTGTGATATAAAAACACGACATAACTCTTGGGATGGACACCAGCAAGATGGAGGGCAGGCCCTGGAGCCTCGGGGTGGGGATGGGGCTCCCGCTTGCACGAGAACTCACCTCTGTGCCTGGAAATGAAACACGTAGCTCACTTCCTCCTCCTTTTTTTTTTTTTTTTTAAAGCTGACCGGTAAGGGGATCTCAACCCTTCCCTTGGTGTTGTCAACACCATGCTCTCCCAAGTGAGCCAACCGGCCATCCCTATATGGGATCCGAACCCGTGGCCTTGGTGTCATCAGCACCACACTCTCCCGAGTGAGCCACGGGCCGGCCCACACTTCCTCCTCCTGAGTCTTTGCTTGTGACTGTTTCTCCAGACCCAGGGTGAGTGGGTGGCTTGCTGTGTGGCCAGGCTCCACAGCTGTCCCTGGACAGCACCTCTGGGCCCTTCTGGCTCTGGGGGTGCTTGGCAGGCAGCCATGGCTGCCAGGACCACTGGGGTGTGGGTCCATGGGCGCCACCTAGGAGGCCCTCAGTGGGGTACTGAGAGGCCAGGCGGCTTTGGCCTTGAGCTCTGTATGTGCAAACAGGTCTGACTAGCCACACTGGGGTGTCCCTGGGGGCCCTGCTGAGGGCATCACCATGACCCTCTCTTGGTAGCGTCAATGGAGACGTGCGTATCTTCGATCCACGGATGCCTGAGTCTGTGAACGTCCTTCAGATCGTGAAGGGGCTGACCGCCCTGGACATCCATCCCCAGGCCAACCTGATTGCATGGTAAGTCTACCCAAGCTCCTCTTCCGAGTAGAGAGCCCGACCTTCTCAGAGGCCCCAAAGCCCCCCGGTGCTTCAGCCTGGGGCGTCCATGCAAACAGCAGGCTCCTGTGTTCTCTGCCCACGGCCCCATTGAAGGAGAGCAGGCTGGAGGGTCTCAGTGGACAGTCATGAAATAAAGAAAAAGGCCTCTCCCTTGCCACATCCTCCCTCCCAGAACAAACTCTCAGGGCCCCTTGAGGCATCTCTGGGGATGGAGCCCCCGATCCTCACACAAGGGTCCCGAGAGACTTGCCTGGCGGCTCCCCCTGCCCTGAGCCAGCCCATCCCTGGCTCATCCGTCTCTGGCCCACTGCCGCCCTCCCAAAAAGGAGCGAGATGCTAACAGCCTGCCTCTCTGTCCCGCAGCGGCTCCATGAACCAGTTCACGGCCGTCTACAGCGGCAGCGGGGAGCTCATCAGCAACATCAAGTACTACGACGGCTTCATGGGCCAGCGCGTGGGCGCCATCAGCTGCCTGGCCTTCCACCCGCACTGGGTCTGTGCCTCCCGCGTGAGGGCTGGGGCTGGGCAGCTCCCTCCCTGTCTGCAAGGGCTGGGGTCTGCTACGGGGCCTCTGGGACCCTGGCCCTACACTGCACCCACCCCAGCAGCCACACCAAAGTCCTTGTTAGGAAAGAGTAGATGGTGCAAACAGGGAGCCCCCGGCCTGCAGTTAGTGTCCTGCGGCCCCTGCACTGAGGCCAGCCCCGGGGCACCTGCAGTCAGAGTTGGCCAGGGGACCCCCCAGTGAGGGAGCCGCCAGGTCTGTAGATCCACGGGACTCGGCCTGTGCTTACTGACGGCCTCTCCATATGGTTGGGCTGCTGTGTTTTGAATTGGGATCCTGCCAGCCTGTCTGTGCAGCGTGAGGCCCAGGTGGCCTGGCGTGTGCTCTCTGCTGACTGCACAGCATTCGACTCCTGACTGTCCCCATGGGGCGATCCAGAAAGAAAGCAGCAGTCCCCAGCGAGGCATCTGGGCCCGTCCCAGGGGGGGCGGGTGCTCAATGGAGCCGAGCTGGAGCTGGGCACCCTGCGGCTCACCCGTGCTCTATCTTCCTTCACAGCCTCACCTGGCGGTGGGAAGCAACGACTACTACATCTCCGTGTACTCGGTGGAGAAGCGCGTCAGATAGCAGGCGGCTCCCTGGCCCGTGCCCGGTGGACACGGCGGGCCTGCCGCTGGCTCGGGCACGCGGCGTCTGCTGCTGCTCCGCGACTTGAAGACCTGAACGCTGGCTCCGACTTAGCTACTGACACTGGAGGAGGGGCAGGCGTCGCTTCCTCTGCTCTGTCTTCGCTGTCACATGTCCAGAAAGTCCAGGGAAGGGCAGGGCTCGGGTGTGACGTCAGATGCCCACTGAGAATCAGCGTCCCGCACCAAGGACTCAGTCCCAGTGCATCGCGGTCCCTCTCCTGTTCTGTTTTCTTCCAAGATTTCTAAGGAGGAAACACACCATTTTATTTTCCATGTGATCAGAGCACTAGCTACAGAAAAGCTCCAGAACGGAGCCCTGGCGGAGCAGCTGCACGCTGGGCTCACGCAGCCCGTCTGCCGGGAGCGAGCCAGGAGCTGCTGCTGCAGCCGCCCGCCGTGCTCCCGCAGTGTGTGCACGCCAGGGTCGCTTCCAGCAGCCCGGGATGCCAGATGGCCGGGAGACCGAGGAAGGCAGGAGGGAGACGTCCCTACCAGCCAGTGTGGAAGGAACAACCCAGCTGACCTCGTCCGCTGGAGCGCACCAGCAGCCGGCAACGAGGGTGCGTCCCTGCACGGCCCACCCTCCCCGGCACCGCCACGTCTTGGGGGTCCAGTTTCACCCCCTCACAGAAGCCCATTGGCAGGAGTGGGCTCTGCAGCTTTGGACAGACGAGGCGGGCCCTTGGCCACTTGGCCTCTGCTCTTCCCTGCCGGCGCCCGCACACGGGTGCACACGCATGCAGCCATCGGGCTCGTCCTGCCTGCGCCCACAAACTCAGCACACTCGCAGGTGCAGAGGCACCACTGGACCTCGGGGGGGTCTGCGGGTGAACGACAGTCCAACCTCAGCCCTTTGTGCCCCACACTGGTGTGACCGAGGTTTGCACCTTGCGGTCTGTAACACGGAAGGGTTCCGAGGTGATTGCTTCGGCGTGTGGCTGGGGGTGTGTGTGCATGCACAGTGCAAGCCTGGGGAGCCACGGGGCAACTTATCCCCAGGAAGGACAACAGAATGTGCTGAGCAACTGCAGACAGAACACAACCACAGTCATGATGTTCTGAAAAGTTCTTTTCCATTTTCCTTGGGAATCAGGATTGTTCAAAGATGGTGGAGTGAGGTGCGTCACTAATTCTGCAATAAGAGGCCAACAATGGTGGGAACATGCGTGAGAGTTGTGACAAAGTCTCGGTTCCCTCGCACTGGATGGCAGCTCTGCCTTGGCCAAGAGTGTCTTCTAGGTGGAGGGAGCCTGCGGCAGCGCCAGGCTCCACACTGGGGCTGGACGGGGACTGATGAGGCGGGACAGGAGGCGGCCCTTCTGCTGCCCTAGGAGACATGTCCTCCTGCCAGGACGAAGCTCTGGGACAAGTCCATCCCCTGTATGGGGCGAGCCAGTGGCCTGGGGTCAGGAAGGCCTCCTTCAGCTCTGTGGGTGCTCCAGGTGGTGACACGCCCGAATCTTCCAGAAGCCAGGCTCTTCCCGCAAACACAGAGAGCGAGCTTCTGACCCACCCTAGCTGACTCAGTGGTCCAGCTCCATTCTAACTATGCGGGTTTCTGTCTGTTTTGAGACAAAACCACCCCCTGGCAAAGGACAGAAGGCCCCAAAAGAGGAGCGAGACTCTCCCCTCCCGCCCCGAGCCGCACCCGGCCTGCAGCTGTGTCCTCCCGCGTCTGATGCGAAATTCAATCATGAAGTTAACCAGGGCTCGAGAGAGCACAACCTAAAGGCTCATTTATCTCTATTTATTTTACCAGATGAGAACTGAAAAAGACTTTGACAAAACATGGGACTGTGATGTGAAGCTAAGAGCAACAACAAACAATAAACCGTTAATAAAAAATAAGTAAGTGCAGAATTGAGCGCCAGCAGCTTCGTCTCTTAATTAGGTAGCAAGCTCACCCGTGCCAGTGGCGAGTCGCTCCCGTCGAGGGCCACGGGGAGTGCCGGCCAGAGCAGGGCGGCGGGCCCTGAGGAGCCCTGGGAGGGACGCCGTCCAGGCCCTCTCTGCAGGTGGCCAGGCTGCCCCAGGGCCAGTCTCCCTCCTGTCAGCCAGGACTCAGGGTACAGGGAAAGGCCCT